CCCCCTCCCTCCTCCTCCTCCCCTCCTCCCCTCCCCCCTCCTCCTCCTCCTCTCCTCCTCCTCTCTCCCCCCCTCTCCCTCTCTTTCACCCTCTCTCGTCATCTCGTTGTTCCTCTCTCTCCGCCCTCTCAATCCACCACTCTGTATATAGTATTATACTATATACTTATGTACATGTACCTGCCAGTTCGCGTCTGTCTATCTTTGCCATCGACGCGCCGTCTCGTCGAGTTCATCGCCATGAGCACGTACTATGCAATTCGAGGAGACGATTTATGCACCTTCGATGTATGCTCATCAAATACAACAATCACTGCGACGTCCGTATTAACAGCGACTATTGAACTTCATGCCAGGGGACAGATTTGCATTTAAATAAATAAACGCTGCAATTTTTACAGTGTTTTACAGATATTTTGCAGAATAACGTTGTTGAAAAAATTTTATTTCTTTAAGTTTTACATTGTTTAAAGTGACAAAAAAATCTGCTTGCGCTGCGTTGTGAGAAAAATGATTAGCTTACACTTCAGAAGCAATTATTATGAATTATGAAAAATGTACATTGTCACTTTTCGTAAACATAATAACAACCATATCGATCGATTTTCCCTGCTAGTAAAACATAAATATTGCACAAAATATATGAGCTAATGATTAACTTATCGTCGTGTCGGAAAACAAATTCAGACAACTAGCGATAGCTAGTAATAGAGGAAAAACAGTTATATTTGGAAACTCTATTTATGTCTTATCAGTTGCCTATCTATATGGAGGTAAACGACCATTTAGATACATAGCATTACGGCGCATACATTTGGCATTCAATATATGGAAAACTAGACAAAAATAGTTTGCGTCCTCGAAAAAATTGTCGAAGAAAATTTGAAAGATAATTACTGAAACATTGAGACAACAAAGAATTGCAAGCTACATTTGCTTGTACAATACTATCGAATAAATCAACTGCGGTATTCGAATAAATAAATTGCAGAATAAAGTACATCACCTCTGGGTGTTCTATACATATATTTGAAGCTATCCGCATCTTTACGACAATGCGGACCAATAATAAGATTTGCTATACTTTGTCATTAAGACGATTACGTCTAGCTCGCCGGATAGTCACTACCCGTATCTTCTCGCCATATACAGAGGCAGAAACGAGTTTTGCATCGCGAGTCTCGCCGATAGGCGATTTTGTAATACATTATTGCGCCCGGAGTAGTTAAGTCGCGCTGCGTACGCAAACTGCCGCATCGTTCCTTCATCGCGATCCCAGGTAGCTTTTCACGGTGGTAATGATTAAGGAGGGAAGCGCACGGTAGCCATGAGTGAGGCCGGGTGTCTCTTTCGCGTGTAACCGAATAGCGATGCTAATCTTGTCGCGGTCCGTGGATACATGGAACGAGAGAGTCCTGCGTGTCTCACACCCATCCAGGCCCGAGTTCCAGTTCCAGTTCCAGGGCCGGCGGCGGCGTTGGCTCTACCCGGGTGTCCGCTTCCAGTCCTAATACCCTTTATCGCGAATTAAGATGTTGTCGGGGTGTGGTAGCCACCCGTTTCCCCTTTCCCCGAATCGACGAAGTCGCCCAAAGTACCCCGCAGGTATCAGTGCGCATACACACACAACAACAACACACACACACACACACATACACACGGACGCGTCGCGAATAACGAAGATACGCTTGCGTTACCGAGAAGGAGTAATGAACGAAAGCGGCGGCGCCGCCGTCGATCGACCAGCAAGACGGATCGTTCACTCGAGATAAGTGAAGACGAACGTACGTAATGCCACGCACCTTCTGCTCGTCAGTACTCGGAATATAAGGCTCGGAATAAGAAATATCAGGGATTAGACAGGCCGATAGCTCTCCATCTTGCTGGTGGATATATATTATTACATCTCCTACTTATACATCCGTCAGGGAGATTCGAACGGTCTCGCATCCACGCGATAGTAGTCTCCATGGCTCACCGGATCGTATCGATTTATAACGAGCGATACGACGGTGCGCGAGCGCGGCGTATTTGCGGCGAATGCAGCAGTAGCGTGCATTGCATCATCGCTATCGTCTTCCCCTCACGCTGTCGTGCAATCGGGGAAACTCAGCGTCGACCTCCAGCGCGATACAGGCGTTATATATCCCGACCCCTCGCGACGATGTAAGCGCCAAGAGTCGTTGATACACGGGGTCCCATTACTTCCTGGCACGCCGTAAATAACCAGAGTGGCATTTGCGTGTTGCGTAGTAAACATTCAATAAACGGCCGAGATCCGTTTACGAGAATGCATAATGCGCCGGCGAAAGGCCGGCGACGTGCCGAGGCAGTTTTCGTCCTGGAATCGCGGTTCGGTTCCAAGCCGCCCCCTTGGAGGAACCGAGGTCCAAGCCAAATATTTCACCGAGAAAACGCACCGGGAAAGGGAGAGTTAACTGCGGCTACTTTACGCGAAAAGAGCTCGGCCCGAAAGAACGAATAACGTGCGAGTATCGAGGGACGAAGCCGCCAAGTTTCCGTATATATGCGCGCGCGTCAGTCCGTAACTTAGGATAATGGCACACCCGGTCGTATCTGCATTACGGTTATCGGTCCCGCTGCGGCTCAGACTCTGGTCGTCCTTGTCGTCTCTCCGAAGATCGCACCCAATTTGCGAACGCCCATCATTGCGGAACCGCGAACACCAATGTAGTGTAAATTTTTCAATAATACTTGGAGAAGAAAATTTTTTAGTAGTGGAAATACGTATTTCGTCGATAAAAGCTTCAAAAATTGAAGAAGAGAGATTTAATAAAAATATATATTAGATTTTTATTTTACTTCATAAATACTCCACCCACTTGATAAGATTAAATGTCGTCTATGAGTTGCACAGCAGCTTTTGCGCGTCATTAAAGATTAATCCTCGATTTAATTATTGATATCAGTGAAAAAAAACTGCGTAATTCCTATATTGAGCAACATGTCTTGCGAATTCGCGATTGAACATCATTGGCTTGCGCGCATCGATTAAACCGGAACCCAGTTAACTCGAACGTTAATTCAAAGTCAGATTCTGCGATTTCTCAAGACCCGTCTGCAATCTCTGCAAGTCGGTTTCTTTTCGCTTCGGCCAAATGTATCTGCGATAGGCGATCGCCTGGATGGTAAGAAGATTGCACGAGTGGAGCAATTTATCCGCGGTCAGCCTCGGAGGAACCGATGATCCATGAGTGGCCCGAAGGCACGAGTAATCCGGTCGGTAATCAAGAATCACGGCGTCGCCGGTCGCAGCCACGCGGAGCGCGGACAGGTTTATCAATGCATATTGGAAACAAGCTCGCCGTTAAAGAATGACGCGACCCGGCAAAAAGAAGACGGCAGATTCGATCGACAACGCTCGATCTTTTTCCACTTTCTCTCTTCGTGAATCGGTTCATTCGTCGCGCTCGGTCTCTGTCTCGTATAAGCGCGCACGAACGCGCGCGATCTCTGAAATATGCCGCGCGTTGTGAGTTAGTTTAGTATGCAAATGGCGGGAAAGATAACGGGACCGATTCGTGAAGAGTGGAGAAGGCTAAGTCGTGATTCCGGTAGTTGTGTCTTCCCAACCCTGTGTGTGTCGCGCTCCTCCTTCTTGCCCACTTCTTCGACCTCCGGTCTTGCCGAGCGCGTAGAAGATAGAGAACGAGAGCGATAAGAAGGAGGAGGAGAAAGTGGACGAGAGAACAAAAAGAGAAGGAAAACTAACCTCACTTGCTTCCGATGAGCGAATTGAGAGATAAGAAGCCCACACTTAGTCCCCCATGGACGCCCAAAGACGCATCTTTTTGCAAAAATCGATAACTTTAGATTTGTTTTCAAAAGTATTTTGTTAAAACGATCAAGCTCTAAAGAGCCGCTGATGATAATTAAGCAAACAATTGCATTCTAAAAATTGCACAAATAATCTTGCTTAATTGCAAAGATACAAAAAGATAAAGATAATAACTTTAAAAGTCTGATCTTTAAATCTATGTCTGATAAAAAATCGATCTAAATAAAATAATATTGATTTCAATCTCCGCACAAAACACAAAGCTCGTCAGTTCACAAATTTATTCAATTCATATTAATTTAAAATTCACTTTACATGAGATGGTTTTTCTAATGAAAATATATATTCGCTGTGTGAGGAGGTGTATCCACTCTTCGTCCCGCCGCGGCAATAGCGGCATTCTTCATCCTTTCCGCGTTATCCCGGTGTCCCCGAGTCGACCGCGAAGCGTGATTATTGCTCGGAAGAAACGAAGGAACAGCGAGCGTCTTCTTCGTCTTCATCATTATCTTTTTTCTTTGTTCTCAGCGCGTTTCACGGCGTGAAGGAAGAAGAACCATGATGTTGTGACCCGGCACCGATGTCCGCGGTAACCTCGGTTGAACATTCGTCAGTGTACATCGGTGTTCGCGTGTGTAGGAGGCACGAAGGAGCAAAGGGGGTTGATAGCTAAGGTAGGTAAGCGCTTCATTAGGCCGCGAGAGCTCCCTAATTACACATGGCCTCATTAGCGGCTTCCACTTTCCCTCCCCCGCAGCACGTCCCATCGCGCGCTGCTCTGTACCGTCTATATACGTGTATCTTCTGTGAAACCTCTTCGCCCTCTCCACGCTATCTCTCACTCTTCGCAGATATATATATATATATATATATATATACACAGATATATGTATATATACAGAGAAGAGAGAACGTCGAACATAAACCAGACGGAGAACGAGAGAGATGGGTCGAGGGAACTGGGCGATACGTTGATGGAGCCGGAGGGAACGGTGAGGAGAGACCAGCGAGCTCGAGGGAGCCACAACGCCGTGTTCGTCGCCGCAATGAGGTTCCCGACAACCGACCGCGTCTCTCTGTGTCTGCCTAAACGAGCCAGCAAACCGCCAAATGCCACCTGATCGCTCCACCGAACACAGAGAAATTACTCGTTACTCGGCGCAGCCCCGATGAAAGTTCAAACTGACAGCAAATGGGAATTTTTCAATCCTGCCGTAATGGAGATTCGCATCATCTGACATAAAAGAAAAATTATTTCGAAAAAACTTGATTTATAGGTGAAAAATGACTCGCCTTTCACAGCACCTGCTACTTACTGACAAATTTTACGAATGCCACGCCAGTCGTATTTACATCTAGATTAAACGAAAGTTAACGTGGAATACCATTGCGTGACCTGACCGAGACAAGTGAAACGTGAGAGTGAAATCTTGGCTGCGTCAGAACTTGGAGTCAGAGCGATACGTATTAATTAACTCTCAACTTTTCTCTCCTTATCTAGGATTTCAAAAGAAAAATTAAATGCTGTTTCGCCGTTTTGCGTGGCTGCAAGTTCAATATCGCCGGATAGTCCGGTAACAGGTTTCTCATTATTTATGCATTTAAAAGGGTCCTCCCTAACCGGCCCGCACAACCCTTTCCCTGTCGAAGGATCAAAAATAGCTTCAGTACCGTCACCCTCTCTGTGAGACCGGCTGAAAGGGGTTCGTCGGGTGGCTTACCACCGCGATACCCCCGCGTCTCCACGCAGGCAAATTTAAACGTCACTTAACGCGTCATTAAGATTCTCGCTAGGATTGCTAATTTAAAACGGTGCGCTAATGCATCGATATCTTCTTATCACAAACTCTGCAACTTCTTTATAAATAACACAAAATATTAAATTAATAAAATAATGAATCCAATAGTTTTTAATTATTTGTTATACATCGCCAGTTGATAAAGTTCCTATCCCTACCTGTACACCGCAACATTTTAATGTATAAATCCAATGAATTTCGCTCAAAAAAGTATCACAAAATTGTAGAATATTCTATTATTCACTTTAACAACTGTATCTCGAATAATTGAAAAAAGCTTTACAACGACATACGATTGAAAACGAATAAGCGAAATCACTTTCCCCGAAACTCACGACCAAACTTGATGGCAGAGTGACTATTTTTCGGTAATGCCGCTGATGCGCGCGCGAGGAATCAACGGCGTAGAGCCGAATAACACCGGGGGCAGATACACCTGGTCGTTCCGTTTCCCGCTGATTGATGCGTGTCGTCTGCCGGTCGGTCGGCTGCGCGGCCAGTCGCTTCACCAATCCCGCCGGGGTTGAATTGCAGTCGCGCGGGCCTTCACCGCGGCGCTCCGCCGCGCCGGAAACGGTCCATCACACGACCACGTGACCACGTGACGGTCTGGCCTTTGTTCCGCGCGATCATTAGTCTGTCAATATGCCCAAACGACGCTCGCCCTATACGTCCTCCTCCGCCTATCCCCCATCCCTCTCTCCCTCTCTCTCTCGCCGTTCGTATATATTATATATATATATATGCCTGTTTGTGTATGTATATATATATATATATAAAGACACAATATATATATATATATATATATATATATATGTGTGTATGTATGTACGTACGTATGTATATATGTACGTATATATGTATGCATTTATCTACCTGCACAATGCACTCATTGTCTTCCACACGCGTGTATTATACACCCCTATTATGCACGTGGACGCGTGCGTACTCGCTTTCCTGCGCACGCATACAGGCACACGCGACTAACTCTCGCGATCCTCGAAGCGTGCTCCGCATGAATCTCTCGGTGCGAGAAGATGAAAATCGCGCATACTTATCGCGATGAAACTTGCGGATAACGAACACGCTAAGATGTCGATATAGATGACGATACGATAATATAATACGATAATTGAAATTGCTAGATAAATAGGATACGCAATTTAATTTGTTATTTAATAAATATATAATAAATATAACCGTGTAGAGTAATAGAGTACTGTCTCGTAAAAATAACACGCTCGGAAAGATCAAGTTCGGAGTGCAACGCGACGTGACGTTATATGCGATTGCTCTGTCGGCGCGCGATTCACGCCAGTTCTCCAGTCCGCTGAAAGATTCGTAAATCACATTCCGGTTCATTGGATAATCCGGCGGTGTTAATGTTCCCGCGTATCCCGTTGACACGTATCCCTACGCCCTTCCACACCTCTGCCCCCTTTCTACCCGCGTCTTCCATTTGAGCTCTCCGTTTTCTCTCTGTCTTCACGCGGCGTCCTCCGATGATCCCGAAGGCACCCCTACGCGTCTCCATCCCCGACACGACGCGTCGCGTCGAAGCAGGGAAGAGAGACGGGAGCTCTGACGCTAAATCCAGATATATGATGCGCGGCCGTGACATGCAAATCTGGTCAAAGCCCGGTGCCATTACGTTTTCAAATCTTTAAAGTGTGTTTAGACAGCCGACGAGCGGCGACGCGCTCTCTCGAAGATTGCCGTTGCGCTCAAGCAATCTCGAAAGATCAATCGTGCGTCGAACCGGCGTACATAGTCTTGGTCGGATTTTGATCGCGGGAGATAATGCAAAATGGATTGATAATAGCATATTAATAGCGTATCTCTAATGTGCAAAATTTATTTATGTTAAATAAATGTGATTCGACTGAATCGCGATTTATGCAAATTTCACATCGCCTAAAATAAAACTCGTGCAATTTAAATTTGTTCTGACAAATGTTCACCGTGTAAAGAAATCTCGCCAAAAAGGAGTAAAAGTCAAAGTTGACGTTAAAAGTCAGAGGTGAAAGTCGTGAAAATTGGAGCATCGTTTGAATCACATTGCAGCGGAACATGCAACCTTACTTGAAAGTCGTCAAGGACAACGTGTGCGAATCGAATCGGAACTGGCGATTCGCAACGATCTGTCGATCGAGCATCGCTGTCCGCGAGAGGGATCAATGCCGCGCTGTCGTCGGAGACGACGAGTTTTTGCCGAGCGATCTCGGGACGATCGTAGTTTATTTCGTTTGGTTGTCGATTTGTGAGGCCGCGCGAGCAAGGCGGCTTGCAGAAACTAACGACGGGATCGAGTTTCGCGTACGCGCGCGATTTATGCTTTATAGCGAGTCCAATTAATGCCGCGCAAAAACTTGTTTCGAGGGTGGTCGACCCACCCACCGGACATGTCGATCGCGGGCTATTTCTCATGCAACATCAGCGAGAAAATGTACTCCAAATGGGGTCAATTCGTCCGACATTTCACAAACTTTGGTCTTTGTTGACCAAGAGACGCGTTGTTTCGATAAAATCGCTCACAAATCGCGCTCGCGCTCAGACATCGCTTGAAATACTCAACCTGATAAGAAAAGCCGCTGTCTGGCTCGGTTTGTTTTTGCCCGTTTTGAGATCTCATGAATCGGCCGTTCGGTTCCGTTCAACTCATCGCTCTCCGCCGATGGATCCTATTGATCGGTGGACGATTGAAGGCAAAGAGACAAAACGATCGTTTCGCGGTATTTCGCTTCTTGTCCCGGATTTCGTCGGGCCTTGCAGTCCGAATGACGAGTGGGATCGGCAACGTCGACGTATTGTCTTTGTCAAAGACGAATATTCAATCTATTGTTGTTATAAAAAGAGCGCGAATTTATTTTTTTTATAAATTTTCTTTAGAACAAAAGGATAAAGTTATCTCTACAGGATGGAAAATGGACGTTTGTAAAAGAATAAAAAGAGTTAAAGGGTGTGTTATATAAGAAAAAAGTCATACGAATTTCTCTCATAACTTCATCGTACGCACACTAAAGAAAAGTTATACGATAGCGCGGCGCACAAGGAGAATTCCTACGTCCTATCGGGATACGACCGCGCATACGTTCCTTCCCCTCCTGCCTGCTTACGGCCGGCATGAAATAATAATAAATACACGACTGACCGAATGGTATTGCGCGCTAAACTGATTCGTAAGCGTGGAAGCCGCTGAACAATGGGCGCGGACTCCGCACCCGATAGCGGACAAGGGTAAGGAAGGCGGGCAGAGGAGGGAGGGAGGCGAATCGGTCGGAAGGACCTGAGAACGACCGCCGACACAATGGAGACCAAGTTGGCGGTCTGACCTCCGACCTCCCGGCTGCGCACCACCGGCGTCTCGCATTCGTATTCGGATTCGTTGCCTCGATTGTGTGCTAATGCCTCGCACGATGTCCACTACCGCGGCCTTAAGACACGGTACTGACTCCCGACCCTCTTCTGTCTATCTCATTGCTCCTCCGACCTCCTACCGATCGTCAATACCTCGCTCGACACATATCGATGTCACGGGAAGTAGCGAATTCTTGACATATTACTTTATACAATTACTACGCGTACTCAATAGATTTATATAAATCACCTCTTGTCAGAGCATTGTACTTTGATTGTTACAATTCTTATACATTCACAAATTACAATGATTTCCTAGGTATTATCCGTCATTGATTTCATCATTTCGAAAGACATTTGGACTTTCAATTTGAAGCGGCATCTTGTTGCCATATTTAACCAGACATCGTTCTTTTTTTATCACAGGTTCATACGCAAGGGAATAGATCGAAATCATTTACTATCGCGATTCCTTGACCAAGACGTCGGTCGGGTCGAATGGATTCGATTAGCGACGG